CCGGAGGGGGGCGGCGCCGCCTCCCTAAACAGTCTGGAAAAAAACATGTCAGGCAGAGCTTTTTCTCTCATCAGAAAAGCAGGGTTTGGCCACAATGAAAACTTCAGAGGAAGTGTCTGCTTTTTTGTTTTGTTCTTTTTTTTTTTTTTTTTAATTTCTAACCAGAAAACCCCAAGTCACTTGGGGCATAAAACCACTACCCATACAAAAAAAAAATAAATCCATTTTCTGCCCCAGAAGAACATTTTTTATGTGTGCACTGAGAAGTGGAATTCTGTCTGAAAAAGTTTTATTGATGTTGGTCAAAGATGCCTGAATTTTTCCCCTTCTTCAGTGAACAGTTTAAATTCTCAGTGCAAATACATTTCCCAAGTAGCTTCAATATTTAGTAGTTTACCCTATGTTAAGGAAAAAAGAAAAGGCAAGGTGTGCTGTGCCGGTGCGCTGCACCAGCGTGTGGCCCAGCAGTCTCCAGGGCTCTGCTCCACCCTTGCCCCAGGCTCAGGCTCTCCTACTGCCTTGCCTGGCCCTGGGGCTTCATCACTAGATTAAATTAATGCCTGCAAAGGGCCGGAGCCTTTAAAGGTCGTGCCTTTACCTCTTCAGTCCACCCTGCTCTGAGGGATTTGCTATAGGCCTTGAGTATAAGCACAGCTCATCTATGCCATTGTTTTGCAACGAAAGAAGAAATTACCGTGTAGCCCCACTTTATCTGATTTTAGTGGCACTTGGATTTTCCCCCCATGGCATCCCAACCCTGCTGCATCACCAGTTGCTTTGCCAATGGGTGTGCTAGAGGTAAGGCTGCGGCCGCAGCCGAGGAAGCTGCATTGGATCCCTTCGAGCTCGGTCTCACTGTGAGTCACCCGTAATATAAACTGCAGCCACTTCATTTGCATTGTCAGTTTTCAAATATATACTTTCGCCTGCTGGAGTGTTCCTAACTATGGTAATTTATGAGATGAGGGCTGCGTTTGGAACACATTTGGCAGCAACGATGAGGTTAGTGCAAAATGTCTTCTGGCTGGCTGCAGTCATGCTGTAGTTTTTAAAACAACTTCTCTAGAGGTGTTTCCCTGTTTGGTAAGCCTGTTTTTTTAATGTATACACATATGGTAGTATGGTCACAGGCATTCAAAGGGGTTACCGGCTGGCACGGGGAAGAGAGGAAAACATGAGTCCTCTGGTAGGTGAGCACAGACGGAGAGGAGGAGGGTAGTAAACAGGCAAAGGGAGCCAAGAGTAAACCACGGCTACCAGCACTGTGTAACACTGTCTAGGGTGCTGGGGACACACCTGGCGTGAGCCTCTGAGGGTACTAAGGAGCAGGCAAGAACACATGGAGTAAGCAGCAGCATGCCCTGTTTTTGTAAGGCTGGAGACAAGCAGGGTACGCCACGGACTGGTGCAAACGATGGTGCTCTTTTGTTTTGAACCCTGGTTTTAATGCTAGATTAGGGGCTCAGAGGGGCAAAGGAGGGCTATACCACCTCCAGCACCTGTGGATGTGGGTGCCTTCAGAGACAAGCCCCATTCCTCCATTACCA